TATATATATATATATATATATATATATATATATTCTTTCATACTCTGCTTGTTTCCAGAGAAGAAAAGGTAAATAATTTACTTTTGTATTTCAATTAGTAATTTGATAACCTCATTTTTTAAAAAGACAAAATAGCTTATCTTAAGGTTCATATCAGACTATCTTACCTTTAATGTTTGGATTTAGTGTCTGAAGGAAAAGAAGCAGTTTACAGAAATGCATTCAATAAATTCACAGAGTAGAATCTAGTCCAAAAGAGGTTTTTTCCTATAACCAATTTTTCCAAAAAAGAAATGAACAAAAGTATACTTATGTCAATGCTGAACAATCTACTCTTTCTAAAACATACTTTTGAATTATAATTTGTGTCAAATGCAATATGAAGAAAGTTAAAATGCCAATTTACTAAGAGTAAAAATGTTCTCTATCCTTAGTTGATTTTATTTCAAGACAGGATCTCAAGATCCTCCTGCCTCAGCCTCCTGAGAAGCTTGGATTACAGGTGTGAACCATCACATGCTCTGTTGTAAACATTCTTGAGACTTGATCTCCAGATTCCTTAAAGTGAAAAAATCCTTCAAGTGAGATTTTCTTAAAGAGAGGTAGAAGATCAGTAATGATTCCTGACACAAACCAGACCTAAACTTGATTTTTAAATGTGAGTCCTTAAATATAATTTCACTTTTTAAAGAACATACTTATTCTTTTAATAACGACTTTTTTGTTGTTACTTTGAGATGAGGTCTCATAATACTATGCAGGCTGCTCTTGAATTCCTGAACACAAGTGATCTCCCGCCTTAGCTTGCAAAAAACACTTACTTTTAGAAAATAAGTTTGGAAAAATATACTCCTGTTTTCTTTAGGTTAGAAGCAAGAATACATTCCAATCCCAAATTTTCCATACCAAAGGATTCCTACCAGTGAACACAAGACATAGAACACATTAAAGATAAATGGAGGGTTAGGGGTGTAGCTCAGTGGTATAATGCATGCTTACTAGGACCCTAGGTTCAATTTCCAGCACACACACACACACACACAAAAAAAAAAAAAAAAAAAAAAAAAAACTGGAGAGTAGGGTTTGAAATACTTGTAGGTCTGGTCTCTGTTGCCAAAAACAAATCAACAATTCAGATTATAAATATTACTGAT